CTCTCTCTCTCTCTCTCTCTCTCTCTCTCTCTCTCTCTCTCTCTCTCTCTCTCTCTCTCTCTCTGTGTGTGTGTGTGTGTGTGTGTGTGTGTCTGAATGTCTTCTCTCTTTGCCTATGTCGCACATGATACAGTTGTGCTGCTCAGCGTCTGTGGACTACAGCTACTCTCAGGATCACTTCCTGTCTCACGTGTAACTCGAGCACACTTGGGCGCTGACTGGACTGGACTGGACTGGACTGGACTGAACTGGCCTGGCTTGGCCTGGCCTGTACATATTCCGGACTCTCTTTGGCCGATTTTTCTTTTCCTGTATGACACTGAGTTTCCAGCATTCTCTTTAGCCTATTGGACCACTTCCAGAACTCTCTTTGGCGCCTATTTTCTTTCCTGCTGGCCCTAACCTTCCAAAATCTTTTTTTGGACAATTTCTCTTTTCTTACTGGGCCTCTACTTCCAGGACTCTCTTTTGGTCTGTTCTCAGTTTCTCATGGGTACCTAAACTTTCAGAACTCTCTTTTGGACCGTTGATAGACCTTTGGCACCACAATGCCGGCCTGCAGGTTCCTTGTGGGTGAAGCACCCGTCTCATAATATGGCTTCCCTCCTTTCTCTGTTCTTTCTCTCTCGTCTCGTTTCTTTCGCCTTTTCCATTTCACACTTGTCAAATCAGGGAGACAGAATTGTATTTTGTGAGTAGGTGCACTCTGCCATGCTTTTCTCCACCAGATTCTGACAAGGATGGCTTTTATCGCTCAGTAATTCTTTCCCAGTCGCTCCCATCTTGCAACAGTTAAAGTAGCGACAGAAATCAAGGGTATCATTATGACACATGTACTGAAAGGGATTAAACAAACGATTACAATTTATAATGGATAGGGTCCCTATTACGCCTTGGTGTACTAGCTTGCTTTTATTTTTCAGTAGCACTTGATAGTTCTATGAACTTCTTTCCCATTTTTTGCTTTTTCGTTTTCGCGGTGGTGTGTGGTGTGACTTCCTTTAGCAATCATGCCCCTCTTGGTAAGTTGAAGGAAGCTTGGTGTATGCCGGCGATTTATTTATAATTGCGATACCTGCCACTATGTCGCCGTCTTGTCACGAGTTTGAAATTAAATTTGAAACTACTATTGGACTCGATTAGATTGTGTGAAACCACCACTACCTTCCACAGCTGAGCTGTAGTGCAATCTGGGAAAATGACCTCATCTGCAACTTTGGGAGGTTCGGCGTAGGGTCGGCCTCCGACTGCCTGAAAACTGAAAGAAAAAAAACATTCGGGCCCTGTGGACCTGCTGTGAGGGGAGAAAAAAAGAACTGTACTTAGAGACAACTGATGTCGGGGCACCCGTAGCAAAAGGCATAGTCTCACCCACACTTTCAATGATGTTTTCTGGCCACTGGCACGACTACGTGTTTGTTGTTGTTTCGGTTTTTCATCTTGTTTTCGTTGTTCTCTTTGTGCCCTGCCAGCGAGGCAGGGCGGATTCCACGCGGGGGGGCTATAACGGCGTCACTGAGGGCATGCTGGCACTGGTAATTCCAAGAATGTATCTGACTGCTATTGCGGCGAAGGGATGTTTTTCTTCTTCTTCTTCTTCTTCTTCTTCTTCTTTCTTCTTCTTCTTCTTCTTCTTCTTCTTCTTCTTCTTCTTCTTCTTCTTCGGCGAAGGGATGTTCTTCTTCTTCTTCTTCTTCTTCTTCTTCTGTTTTGCCTCGGAGAGATGACCCCAGTTCGGGCTCACTCACACTAGTACTTCCGAGAATGTATCTTCCAGCCATCATTTTTCATTTTTTGTTTTCGTCTTCTTTTTGTGTTTTTGTCAGCATATTCGATTTTATTTTTTTTTGGCAGTGGTACCAAAAAAGAAGATCAAATGGTACCCCCCCCCCACCCCACACCAGGCCCGGCAAAAATTAGCGCGCAGGCAAAATCAGGGTCGGCAGAATGAGGATGGGAGGTAGTGGTGGTTTAAGCAACTGTTAAGCGAAGGGGTGTGTGTGCGTTTCTGCATCTCTGTTGACATGGTTGTACCTTCGTCATGAGAATGCAAATGATTCTGGCAATCATGTGCTGGTCTTGGTGCGTGCCTTGAAGTTCTCTGCCTGCACTGCACGTAGTCCCCATACGAATTTTTCAATTGGTCATCAAACTCACACGCACAAAGATCATTTGTAGAATGCAACCTTCATTTGTAGGCGCACATGCAGTTGCCTTGCGTCGACATCCGCGAATAATTCTTTGGTCCGCTTGCACAGATTTGGACATACAGGGTGGAATTCTTGTGTTTTGCTCCTTGGCTGGGTGTGGTCATCCCAGTCTCTGTGGATCTCTGGGAATGACATTCCTGGTTATGCATAATCTGTAGCAATCGTGCGAACGAGTCTACTGTTGCTAAACGCTCAGATCGGAGGGATAGTCTCTGTTGACTGCGTGCTGGGCAAAGTGGTGACAAAGACTGATGGTGTTGCTCGTCTTGTCTGATTCGTCTGTCTCAGCATGGGCAGCAGCGCCGCCGAGGCAGAGATGGCGATAATGTGTTGCGACTTACTTCAACATAGGTGCGTATCGAGTTTGAGCATGGAGATCAACGATTGCAAGAGCGAATAGAGGCCCTTCATTCCGTAGCTTTCGGTTTGCTAGATTAGACACTAGAAATTGCCGATGAATGCATAGATTGAAAGGGCAAGTCTGTTTTTGCGTTGTGGCGAGTTTGTGCAGCATTTAAGCAACCCCAACGACACCAGCCGCCAACCCTAAATTGTGGAATCTCTCTTCAGTCCATTCCTGGATTTTGAAGCTGGTGCAGTGTTGGGCCGACTTGAGCTGCACACGCTTAGGAGGTGTTGCGATCCCAAGAAGGCGCAAGAGGCAGTGGTGAACTACCCAAACCCAAACGAAGACCTCTGGGACGCAACGTAAGTCTTCTATGTCCAGCATGAGCATTCTAACTCCTTCCTGGTCCTGAAATACCTTGAAACGAGGAACAGGCAAAGGGTGAGGATATGTACTTTCTAGATGACCTCCGGGCATGTAGAAGTCGTTGGTATTGTCCAGGTCTAGGTATGGGTCTTGGCCCATTGCCGACCCAATGGCCTTGGAACTTGTGGCGCAGGAACTAGAATGATCATTGTCAAGGCTGAGGATTGTGTGTCTGTGAGTGAAAAGGGGTCCTGGGGCCTACCTGCGCTGAATCGGCCATCAAATTCGCAGTGCATGAATTTCAAAATGCGGCTGCTGCTGCTGCTGCTCAGTTTGGTCTGACGGGCAGACAGCCGATATGGTATCGCAACTGTAGATGTACGTTTTAGATCAACTTTCATTTTTTTTACGGTGCTCATTGTGTTCAATCAAATACATCCAACTTTCTAGATGCAACCTTCCTTTTCTTTCACTCGCGTTGCTTCGGAAGCTCGCTCTTAAGGCAACAAATTACGATGAAAAGGGCCATTAACATAAGTCCAGACAGATCACATCACCCTGAAGATTCTCTTTCAGGCTTGCCCTGCCTTGCGGTCGGTCAAGCGATTTTGCGAACAGGTATTCATTGAGTAGGAGATGAGGAGAACCTCATTCATCACCACTGCTGTACAGCTTAGATACTGTCTCGTGTGGGATCTGAAATGTGCTTCCTAACAGAGAGCAAGAGTTGGTACTGACATAGGATAAATGGATGGAGGCGACTACAGGCATTTATGCTCGGACAACGACAGACAGACACAGAGAGAGAGAGAGAGAGAGAGAGAGAGAGAGAGAGAGAGAGAGAGAGAGAGAGAGAGAGAGAGAGGGAAGTTTTCATTTGCAGAATGTGTACGGCCATGACTCCTGATGGAACTCGTTAGATAATGTCTTGTTTTCATTTGCAGAATGTTCCGAGAACAATGAAAGGCCCTGTTGATGTTTTGACGGCTGCCTCTCTCTCGGGCTGTTTCTGGTACAGGTACAGCCAGTAGGGCCTCAGGTGTTGTTATTTAACTGAGCTGTATTCTCCTTTCAATTTCACCGTTCCGGGTATGTGATGGGAAAGGGGGGATCGCTGTGGATGGATGCTGGATTGATTGGTGTCATCGACTGAATCCCTGTGGCTGGAATTGGAGTGTTAACCCTGGGCGGTATTCCTGCAGGCTGCCTTTGTTTTGGAGCACATGGGTGACCAGGGTGCTTCTGGTGGTAATGCTCCCAATGCTTTTGGTGTGTTGCCTCTGTTATGTTAATGAACGTCCTACGCCGTGAATGCATGCTCCTGTGCTGTGGGAAGGCTGCGCTGATGGCGCTCACCTGTGAACTGTTCGTGATGGGAACGTTGGTGCTAGAAGGGTTTAATGGCTCTCCGCCATGGTGAGTGGCACAGTGGGTTCATCACTGTAGTGTACTGATTGTGTAGTGCGCTGATTGTGTATTTGACTGCAGGAGAGAAACGGGCCAAATGGCCTTCAGAAGTAGAATTACAAAGGAGCGTGCATGCAATTCAAGTCTGCATAAAGCTGCTGTAATGACCTCGATGTGGTCTTGCTGCCTGTAATTTGTGCTGCTCTGGCAGATTGGTTCGTTCAGCAGTTTTATTAGAGGAAAAGATGAACAGCATTGGGTTGGGGATTGCGGTTATGCACTTTGCTATTGGGTTGGGCTGCAGGTGATCTTGAGCTGCTAAGGGGATAGCAGTCGTACGCTTTTTTTGCTGGCTGTGAACGCATTTCGAAGGCCGAGTTGGACGAGCTGCCACCCGGATGTGGACCTCGGCTAACTTCGTCGCCAGGAACTATAGGGAGCTGCATACAGGAGGCGCAAGCTGAGAACAAGAACGCATTTCGATCGTTTCGGAAAGGTCTGCACCATGGCTGACTTTGTCACAAGGAGCTATATGGATCTGCTTAGGGGAAACGAGTGTGCTGATTGGCTTCAGTTTACACCATGACGGTAATGCCGGTGGAGGCTATGGAAATAGGAGGGAGCTGTGGAACCCAACCATCAAGCACAAGTTGGCGGAGCTTGAAGAGAGATGTGGAGATTGAGCGCTGCTATGAAAGCAGTGAAGCTTCTCGTTTGGATTGGGAGCAGACTTGATTTGCCACAAGCACCGCTCAGGTTAAGGTGATCAGGGGAGAAGAGGAAGCAGAGGATGGATGAGGTGAGTCGCAAGGGAGGAAAGTATGTGAAAGGAAGCCTGATTGTCCAGAGCAAGTGTGTTTTTTTTTCCGGTGAAGTGGCCGTTTTGATGCTACCTACAGAATGCTTGCTGTGTAAACTATTGCAAAGCATTTTATGGAATTTCAAGGAGCAGATCGACAAGCCTGACAGGCTTGGGGAAGAGTTTCAAAAAGAGGAGATTGATTGTTTTTTTTTTTTTTTTTTTTTGTTGGCAAGAGCCGACATAAGAGAGCTGGAGTTGCCTATAAAGAAGAGGAAGCTGGATGGCAGGTAAATTCTTGTGAGGATGAAAGAACTTGGTATTTTGCCGAATGGGTGTTAAGCTGCAAGGAAGGGAGGATTTGCACAGCATCAGGTGTGCAGTGATTCCATTCTTCTCCGTCATGTGTTCTTTGCAGCTTTCCGTTTCTGCACATCCTGCCTCTTCCCCTTGTTCGCCTCTTGTCGACCTTCCTCCCAGTTTGAAAATCCCCAGCGGCTTTCATCCCGACCTAAAAAGTTATCTTTGTTGGATAATTGAACCGCCTGTTCACCCGAAGCGAAGTACTGCTGTTACCAGTTTACGTGGTGAGAGCATTTTGATTCGGGCCTGGGCCGGTAGGGGAAGCAGCAGGCCACCCTGAAATGGCGCAGTTGCAGGCTCGCGAGCCTTGGAAGGTATATAGCTTGATCAACTTAGGCTCGTGTGAATGGCTGGTTCAAGCTCTTTTTCCCATATCATCCAGCTTTCCAAGCATTCTTGTGTGTTCTCTCTCAAGGTACTCGTACTGTACGAGCTGCCCAGGTGTGATGTCAGAGCGATTTTCTTCTCGGGACAGCTTTGACGGAGCATTGCCACTAATGGGGGCAAGGTGTTGTTCTCGGTTGTGATGGCCCGCCATCACGTATTGCCAGGCGTCATGAAAAGCCGGACTGTTGTTGCTTAGCAGGTTCCTGTTCATGTGTATTTGGGGTGCGAAGGGCCACATTTCTCCACGTTTCTCCGAACATTCCACTTTTTCACACGCTTCTCCCGATGCCAACTGTTGCATGTTCGTCAAATGCAGTGATGGTGGTCAGTTGTCTAGAAATCCTGATTGGAGTAGGATTTAATTTTGTCTTTGGTTTTCTTTTTTTTTCCCCTTATTCAGTCGTCGGTATCCTTCTGGCCAGTGACCGGACTTCATATTTTTCCTCTTTAGTCTGTGGTTTATGCCCGAGCAGACCGTGAATTGACGATGATGGTGATGATGGTGATGATGATGCTGATGATGGTGATGGTGATGGTGATGGTGGTGAGGTGGTAGTGCAGATGACCTTAAGGATACGTTGTTAATCGTGTGAAGCAGACCATATGTCAAGATGCTGTCTTGGTTGCGGATTGTGGAGGGCTCAGCCACTCACTGTTGGGTTTCGAATCGCACAACCCCCCATGCGTGGTCCAAGACAGCATCTTGACATCCAGTGGTTAAAGCGCCTTTGTTGGGTTTCATGTGGAGGGTTCACCGATTGGTTAGTGTGTAATTGTAACCTTGTTTCAAGTGGATGAGATCATGTGGAGGGTGCACCGATTGGTTAACTCGTCTTTCTTGGGTTTGGACAGTGCAAAGTTTCTTTTACTACTTGAGCAGTTTTTTATAATGTTCATATCCTTTTTTTTTTTTTTTTTTTTTGTAAACTCCCCCACCAGTGTTACTGCTGCTGGTATTCTACGAACCATGGCTGAAGCATAGTAGACGTGGAATCAAGTGGATCAACTGCTGGATATATTCCCTTTGCAGGAAGATTCTGAGAACAGTAGTAGCATCTCTAAATGAGCATAGCAGGAGCTGGATGTGTTAATAAATCATCTGCAGGTACATAAAAGGGTTGTGAAAAGATTAGTCAACCTGGTGTTGCATGTCTGATTCCCGAGATCTGTACGCTTACAGCATTTCTCGTGTTTTGCGGAGTTTTGTTGGGCCCCATCGGAAAGAACCTAGTGCCATGTGGCTAACAGTGCTGCTTATATCCAGGATGTTGAGGCTCGCTTTTGGACGAGTTACGGAGTGAAAAGAGACCTCTCGGGTCTTGGATCCGTGCCCTCTTTTTTTTTTCTTTTTTTTTATTTAATCAGCCTCTAACCTTGATAGCACACCCTCAAGCTCACACCCCCTTTTTTTTTTTTTTTGGGGGGGGGGGGTGAGGTTGTATTGGGATACAAGTGCCATTTCTTTTTGGCCAAGCGCAAGATGAGCCGATCGTATATCAGTGAGGGGTCGAGAGGGTCTTTGTGATGGAAATGGGCACATTCTTTCTTACCAGCCTCTGCCCAATCTTCTGTAGGCTGGTCTGTTTTATAGTCATCAATAATGTGGATCATGGGCAATACCTTAAAAGTGGGACAAAACTCTCAAGTCCCAGCAATAAATACCTTCTTTGTGGTGTTTGTAGGGTAGTAGTTGTCCCATTTCCATTTCCTTCCTTGCTTTTTTGGCCTTTCTTTGAACTCTTTTCTTTTTGTTTTGTTTTGTTTCCTTCTTCCGCTTAATTTAGCTATATCTGATTCGGCATCATCGTTCACTCTTCTGAAAACTGCACCTCTGCACTCTCAGGCAGGCAGCTTACTGAGAATGCAGACCAGTTCTTTAGGACTAAGCTGCCTGAGAGTGCAGAGGTGCAGTTTTCAGAAGAGTGGCTAAATAGTTTTTGGTTCTTTTATACCAAACTGAGAACTCTTTAAAAAAAATTAAAAATTGTGTGCACTACGAAGGGACGGTCATATGTGTAGCATCCAACCTCTACAACCACCTGGACTTCATTCAAAAAAAGAAAAGAAAAATTGTCTGCACTCTCAGGCAGGTTACTTCTAGCCAACTTATGTCTCAGTCTCTCCTCACCCTCTCCCCCTTGTTGCTAATTCTGGAGCACATCCATCCCATAAAGCAGCCTCTGTTCCTTTCTTCCTGGATGCCTGTATGTCAAGGGGGTAAGGGAGGGAAAGGGTGCTGCTGAAAGCCATCGTGGTCGGTTTGACGATCTTGAGTCGCTCTGGAGTATCACCTTGTGAATTTGTACTGTGTTCTCTTGCCGGTGTTTGCATCCCTTCTCCCTGACATGTTGCTGGGGGGACCAAATGGTGCTGGTGAAAGCCGGAGTGGTCTGTTTGACGATCTTGAGTCGCCCTCGAGTATCACCTGGTGAAGTTGTACTGTGTTCTCTTGCCGGTGTTTCGCATCCCTTTCTCCCTGATATGTTGCTGGGACTAGTAGCTGTGTAAAGATGTTGTGCACAACATCAAACCTCCTTGCTGTGGCAACATGAATTGGAGAAACGAGGCGAAGAACATGTTTTGACGCTTGAGAAGTTTTAGTACTGTTTACTGTGATTGAATTATCTGGTACCATTCCACCACAGTTGTGTGCTTATAAAGCTTTTCTTTTTTGTTTCTTTTTTTCCCCTTCTTTTTAAGGTGTCAAGGGTTTTGTGGGAACTTTTCCCATTCTCTAACCTTTGTCTGGGGCTATCTGTCCCACAGGATTGGTACAGGATGGGTACAAGGATGTTGAAAGCCCTGGCTACAGCCCTGGAGGATCTTCGGCAGGTCTTCTGTTTGATGTACAGTCTAAGTGACGCCGGGAGTTATCTGGTCCAAAGGGAAACAAAAAAAACTCAAGGATTCACACAAAGGAAAAAGAAAAGAGCAACACAGGGGGAAATGGTTGTGTTGTGCTATTTCCGCCTCGCGTATAGTACTTGTCAAGTGTGAGGATTGGGAAGAAGTGCGTAATAATATTCCGGATAGATACAGTATGTTCGACAATGGTTTGAAAGTGACAATGAGAAACGAGCTCCCACGATGATGCCTGGTGTTTGGAATGTCAAGCAGACAGTTTCGGATGAGGCGGGGGGACGAGCAGAGCGTTCCTCCGAGCAAATGTAATATGGAGAAATGCGTAGGGTTGTGGAGTGGAATGATGACGTCCGCAGCAGCAACAGCACCGGTCAAAATGTGATATGGAGAAATGCGTAGGGTTGTGGAGTGGAATGATGACGTCAGCAGCAGCAACAGCACCGGTCGATCGGATTCACCGTGACAGCACGGCTCGTGTGGTGTGTTCTTCAGCGAGAATTCGGCTTTTGTATCAAGGCGAGATCTTGTGCAGGTTTTGGCTTTCCCGTTGAATTGCGGATCATGATTAAGATGCTGGAGGGTGCGAGGCAGTAGCGATGGAAACAGCAGCAACAGCAGCAGAAGCAGAAGCAGCAGCAACAGCAGCAGCAACAGCAGCAGCAGCATGTAACAGCCGTGTCCTCTTGCTGGAGGATGTAGTTAGTTCGGATTTCAAGTTGAATTAGAGAAGAGGAGAGGAGAGTTGCATGTGTGGGTTGGGAGAGCTTTTAGGCCGAAAGCAGAGAGAGCGATGTTGGTTGTGAGGCAGAGAGAGGGGTCTGTGGATTGTGAGAGTGTAGTTTATTCTAGGAATTGTAGGCGGGGTGCTTTCGGATGTATTCGGTGATTTTGGCAGTTTGTCGTTAGCAAGAGAAGTAGAGTGAATTGTTGATTGTCGAGGCTTTTGCATCTCTGTGACCAGCGTCCCACCGTTGGCTGACGATGGTATTTTGAAAGGGTTTCGTGAAGGCTGAAGGAGTGGTATGACTGGATGGCGAAGTTCTGAGACTCTGCCGATGATCCAGGGCTTCAACGTGCTGTGGGAGGGTGCAGAAACTTGCCCAAAAGCCTGAACTAGAAAGTTTACACTCTCCACTCTTCGGCTCATTCTATCTCTTTCTGTCCTCAGGATTTCGACTCTCTGGAGTTTGAGCAATTCTGTGTATTAAACTTTTTAACCCGCAGTGCTGTTCATTGAATTGTCTGTGATGATGTGTGATGCCAGATTGTCTAAGTGAACCATTGCAATACGAGACAGAAAGATGGAGTGAAAAAAAAGAAAGATGGAGTGAAAAAAAAAAAAGAAGAAACAAAGATGGACTATGTGCGGGGCGCAGAAGAACAACATGATGTGAGGATGTTGTTGTGACTCGTCGGTGATCGAGTTTGCCTTGGCACTGAAACCTGGTTAAGTGTTGATTGAGAAGGTGGTTGGTTTGGAGCCAAGACAAGAAATTCGGAGAGCTTTGCATGTTTTACACATTTAGTGCTGAGGTTTGGGGTTCGAGGCTATCAGTCCGCGGAAGGTTTCGTGTGTCTACACGTGCACGTGCAATGCAGTGAGTGTGTTATGAAACCTGTGGTCTACAGAGAAATGTGTGGATTTGCAAGTATGATGCTGTGCTTTGCCTTCTCAACCTTGCGGTCACGAAATGTAATGGCTCCGAACGGCACCTTAGAGAGCGATTATCCCACCCTCAACGTAAGCACCTAAATAATCTACAATTGTGTGTAGGCTTTACCTGAATAATCTACAATTGGGTGTAGGCAGCATGTCTCTTAAGCCACCAGTGCGCTGCTGAGTCTAGAAAACACCGTGTGCATCAAAAAAGAGGAAAGAACAAATCGCCGCATTCTCTTTTTTGGCGGGTGCAGCAAGCCATTCAGTACCGGTAAGCCAACCCCCAAAATTTGCGCCGCGTTAACGGCCATGTCGGAGAAAAATGGCTGGGAGACGCTCTGGTGGCTTAAACCACCACTAGCCCCCGCCGGCCTAAAATGGACTTTCCTGGCCTTACATACCGGGTTCTTAGGGGGGCGTGGCGACCGGCAGGTGCAGGTGTGTCCAGCCCAAAAATTTCAAAGCGCGAACTTTGGCGATTTTTCGCGCTCAGAAACATTGGCAAAAAAATTCTGAAAATTTGATATCCTGTAGATTAGGTCGTGATCGTTCCAGGAAAAATATCAAGAAAATGAAGAAAAAAAATCCTGGAAGGTGAAGTAAATGCTGTGCCGTTTTGTCACATTTTCCATTTTTGCTACTCTTACCATGTATGGGCCAACGGGAAACGTAACCCAACTTTTGTGATTTTTTTGCGATCAGAAGAATGACCCAACAACTCTAAAAATTGGAGGGTCCGGAGATTTTGTTGTGATCTTTACAGAAAAATATTTATAAAAAAAAAAATCATTTGAACCACGAAATAAATCGCGGGGTTAATTCGACTTTTGCCACTCCGCCAGTTCCCCCCACTGTGCTGTCGGTAGCCTTTCGTGGACATGTGCTACCCTTTCGTGGACATGTGCTACCGGTTCCCCTAATTTATGACGGCGGGGGTAGTGGTGGTTTAAACCGCCAGTACAACGGCCAACCCTGGTCGCCCGGAAGGGTGCTCAGGGCGCCCGGCCGAGCGACCCCCCCAACCAGTCCTCTTGGCCCCCACAGCGCCCCCCCCCAAAAAATCGCTTCAATGTTCGTTTTTGCGCTGCAGGCTGGAGGCCCAGAGGGGGGGGAAAAATTGGCGGCTGCCCCAATTATTTGGGGGGTCCAGTAGGCCCTATCTTGTAGTTTCTTTTTTCTTGGGACTTGGGCCATCGATCTGCGGTGATCGATGGTGTGGAAGTCCCAAGATTTTGAATTTGAATCTTGGGACTTACCGTGCGGTCCTGCGCCCGCCGCCCTACTGCCCTGCACCAATTTGTTGTTTCTCTGCCGGTGTCACCCTGCCGTACTCGTCCGCGCCATCGTTATCGTTGCCCTGCCGTGTCATCGTCGTCATCACCCTGCTGCCCTGTGGCTCACCACTGTCGTCGCCGTCCAGCCGCGCCATCAGGTAAGTATTCTTCTTCTTCTTCTTCTTCTTCTTCTTCTTCTTCTTCTGTTTTTTTTTTTTCTTTTTCTTTTTCTTCTTCTTCTTCTTCTTCTTCATCTCTAGTACGTCTTTGTTTGTTCTTCTTCGTTTGTCTCATTCTTCTTCCTCTTCTTTCTTTTCCACCATTTCGTTGTGTTATTCTACTTCTTCGTTGTTTCTGTCTTCTTTTTTTCTTCTTCTTCGTCGTTTCTTCTTTTATTTCTTCTATTTCTTCTTCATCGGTTCTTCTTTTTATTCTTCTTTTTCTTTTTCTTCTTGCCGCCTCTTCTTCTTTGTCGTCGTCTTCTTCTTCTCCTGCTGCTGCTCTCCTCTTCTTCCTCCCTGTTGCTTCCTCCGCCATAGCGCTTCATCAACAAATCATCATCCTTTTTTTTTTGGGTGGAGGGGGGGGCGGGAATGCTTGATTATGCTTCGGCTCAATCTGCCATAGCCTCCCTCCTCCTTCCATAGACTCCCTCGCCCCCCCTCCTCCATCAGTCTGCCTTCCCTGTTATCTTCCCTTGTTAGACTCCCTCCCTCCATCAATCTCCCTTCCCCCTCCTCCTCCCTCCATAGGCTCCTCCACCACTTCCTCCCCTTTTCTTCATCTTCTTCTTCCTCCTCTTCTTATTCTCTCCCTCTCTTCTTCTTCTTCTTCCCTTCTTCTTTGTCATCTTCTTCTTCCTCCTCTTCTTACTCTCTACAGTCCTTCTGGGACGCCATAGTCTTCTTCTTCGTCTTCTTTTCTTATTCTTCCTTTCTTATTCTTCTTTTCTTCTTCTTTGTTAGAGTTCTGCCCCTACCTATGCCGACTTTCGGTAGAGTCCTCTACCTTCTCCTACCTCCTGCCATAGTCCCCCCTCGTCCCTCCTTCCTCCTGCTATAGTCCTCTCTCCTTCCTCCTGCCATAGTCTCTCTTCTTCCTCCTGCCATAGTCCTCTCTCCTTCCTCCTGTCATAGTCCTCTCCTTCCTCCTGCTAGTCCTCTGTCCTTCCTCCCGCCAAAGTCCTTCCTCTTCTCTTGTCCCGTAGCTGCCCCCCAACACATACTAACCAATATGCCTGAAAATAAAAAACGAGGCCTGATTTGGGCAGTACTCTGCAAGCTCAGCAAACCCCCGAGGCCAAAAAAGAACAAGAAAAAAAAAACGGTGGATTTTTTTCATGCCCGGGGTACTGGGGCGCCCGGCCGAGTGCCCCAGGAAAGCGAGGGGGAGTCGTTGCCAGATTCTCCTCCTCCATCAACGTCCTCAACCCCCTCCTCCTTCGACCTCCTGTTGTCCTCATCCATCGATGACCTCCGCCGTGTCTTCCACCTCCTCTGACGGTCGTGCAATGTGCCACGTTGCCCCTTTTTTTTCCATTTTTTTTGTGGTTCTTCTCCTCGTCGTCGTCCTCCACTAACGCCCACATTAACCTCCTGCTTTGACGTCGTCCTCCTGTCCTCGTCGTCCTCCTCCGAGGACATGGTTGCCACATGGCACATGCTACTCGATGAGGTTGCCACGTGGGATGTGGAATTTTGTTCATTTTTTGTTTTTTGTTATCTTTATCCTCCTCCCCCTCCTCCATTGACTTCACCCACACCTCGTCTCCTCCTCTCCGTCCTCCATCAACGTCCTCCACTTCCTCCACATCCTCCTCCGTGGATGCGGTTGCCAATTTTACAGTGACAAGTCATTTTGCGGTCACCTTTGGTCTTTCATGATCTCTTTTTATTGCGCATTGGGCTTAGTATGGTGGGATTTCAAACTCGCGGACTTCATTTTTTGAGTTTTTTATAACCTCAAGGTGTACCTTTGCCACTAGCACCTTTGTATATCTTTAACTAATTTCTTATTGTTTTTGCGCTCTTTTTTTGTCAGCGGCCGGTCAAATACAAAGGCACTTTTACGGAGGTATGCATACACTCTAGGAATACCGCAGGATAAACACCCGTCCACCCATCCAAACAAGTTCAATCACCAAACGCCCCTGCCCCCATAGCGTTCCCTTGGGTTTCCCATGATGCAAAACGGCCTTGGAAGTGGCCTGCAGCGGATTTGTTAACGAGCCTGGTTTCCTCGTTCTTGTGAATATTTTCATGAGCCATTCGTGCAAATGCGCAAACATGTTCACATTTTTGCAAGGTCTGCGAACAATTTCGCCGTGCTACGAAGATAGTAACAGCTAGCAACTTCACAAAAGGAATGGCTCAAAATTCTGGAGGCTTGAGGCTATCGAACCACAATGGCTGGCTGCATCAGCCGAAAAAGGAAAAAGTGTGTTGATGGCAGTTCGGCAAAGCTTGGCCTGTAGCGGAGAGTCCACCAGGGTCGGGTCTACTGGTGGCTTAGCGTGAAGTGCAGAACCAGCAGAAATTCAATGTTTGACATCTCTGCGAGGAAGTATTGCAAAATTATACCACCAGTACCTACCGGTTGTCAAGGCCCTTGGCTCAGCCGGTCGGTATCCGGAACCTTGCCGAGCCTCGGGTTACAGGTAAGCCAAGTGAAAAGAATAAAAAAAAGAGAAAAAAAAAAAAATTATAAAGTAATAATAATAATAATAATAATAATAATAATAATAATAATTAAAAAAAAAAAAA